TCCAAGGACTGACTTGTGTGATACTTGTCAGCATTTTAGAGATGGTTTACATTATAATGCTCACCAAGAGGAAGAAGCTAAAGAATTACTCAAAAATTTAAAGAACATCTATCCAAGGCCAAATTAGAAAGAAATTATTATAATAAAAATACCAAATTAGCAGAAGAGCAAAGAAAACTGGTTGATCAAAATTATTCCCAAGGCAAAACACAGTATTGCAGTATTGGGTCTGGGACACTTTACCAACACCCACTTTACCGACAAGACACTTTACTGACAACACACGGGGTTACATTTAATCTCTACACAATCAAACAACTAACAAAATGCTAAAATATCACATTGCGTGTTGTCAGTAAAGTGTCTTGTCAGTAAAGTGGGTGTCGGTAAAGTGTCCAGGTCCAGCAGTATTGATGCTATTGCTCATTATAGTTACAATTGAGCCCAAAATGTTCATGTACCCCATTCTGATCAACAAGTAAGTAGAATCTATTATCTCAGTCCATGTAAAGTTCATTTATTTGGTATTCAAGATGAGGCAGTAAGGGAACAAATTAATTATGTTCCTAATGAAAATGAAATTATACCTCCTTTGGATTACAAAAGACAAGTATACCTTTATAACAATATTCACCCATTTGTGAAAGATAAATATAAAGATATTACTTGTCCAAAGCCAACTTACAGTAAAAATAATTAAATATCAAAAGCATTAACATATGAATCAAAATAAAGTTAATTGTCTTCATTGTTTGATCAAACAAGTCTCTCAACAAAAAGGCCATCCCTTAAAAAATCATTTGTGATTGGGATGAAGTTCTTATGCCAACTAGATCAGCAGGCATTTATGAAATTGGTAATTTTAATATTTCTTTTGCAGAATGGTTTAAGAAATTCTGAGAAAACATTATTGTTGAGCCAAATGACTATGATGTTTCTTATAAAATAATTGGGTTTGAAGGAACTGAACAAGAAAAAGCAGCAGTTGAAAAGTTTGAAAAAAGCAAAAGAAATAAACTAACAGAACCTTCTTCAGGAAACTTTTGAGGCTCTCCTTGAAGATTTGAAGTTGTTTTCTTGTCACCAGCTAAAGAAATTTTTCTTGCTTTAAAGGAAGGTTTAATTGAAGAACTAGTTCTTATAAGTGCATTTAGAGAATGTAAGAATGGCCATTTTCCTTATGCATATTAGGGGGGGAAAAAAGAAAAATTCAAAAAAACCTTTGGTTATTTTCCTCAAACAAAATGTGAAATTTACATGCAGACAAAGAGCAAAATGAGACTAAATACACTCCAAGATTATGTAATTGAATAAAAACAAACCATCCTGATTTTGATATGTTTATTGATGATTCTGCAGAAATTATTTCAGAATGCAAAGAAAAGTTTGCTAAACAAGAAAAAGAAAAATTTTTTGTCCTTCCTGATTATAAAACCACCAGACATATTCAAGGTCCCAACTTTTACCATCTTAAGACTAGTGTCAGTGATTTAAAAGATGAAGATTTTATCAAAGCAGAATATAAAAACAATACTTCAAAGAACACAGAAGAAAAGTTTGATGGTAAATCTATTTTATTATGAATAGGAGGCGTAACTTTAATCATAGGTTTTATAATTGCTACGTTTTATGTTGTCAAAAGAACAAAAAATAAAAAATAAATCAATATTATAACAATGAGATTATTTTCCTAAGGATTTCTGCTTTTTGTTGGACAACAGCACACCTTCATTTTATTTTCTTTTTTTAACATTTATTATTTTTCTTTCTTGGTAAATTTCATAATTAATTCCTTCTTTTCTTAGATAAGCTTCTAGTGTCTGAGTATTATTTATTTTGAAAATATAAGGAGCAATTTTTTCACCTTGTTCTTTCTTCAAAATACTTCTAATAGTGCTGTAATTTTTGGGTTCCATAGTAGATCTGATATAAATAAGTTTCATATTAACTATTTTTATATAAAGGTAATTCTACATATACTTAAATAAAAAATTGGTGATTTTAATAATCACATTACTAAATTTTGATCCCTGAAATCCCAATGTTCACTTTGTCTGGTTTTGTTGCAGTATGCCCCATTTCAAATATTATGGTGATAAATCTATTTGAAGGTATAACTTTTTTAGGTTTTATAATTGTTATGATTTATGTTTTCAAAAGAATTAAAAAGAAAAAATAAATCAATATTGTAATAATAATAAGATTATTTTCCTTTAAGGTTTTTGGTTTTTGTTGGAGAATAACACACTTTCATCCTTTCTTTTCTTAATGTTTATGATTTTTCTTTTTTCTCGGTAAACTTCATAAGTAATCCTTTCTTGTTTTAGATGGGCTTCAAGTATCCAAGTATCATTTATTTTGAAAGAGTAAGAAGCAATTTTTTCACCCTGTTCTTCAAATATTTCTGATTGTACTATAATTCTTTTGGTTTCATAGTAGATTTGATGTAAATTAACTTAATATTAACTATTTATATATAGAGATAATTCTATATATCACTTAATATTAAGAAGATAACAAATGGGATAATTTTAATAATCACATTACCAATATTCACTTTGTTGCAGTATGCCCATATTAATAATAATATTAACTATTAGCTAAAAGGCGTATGCTGTGCCATACCACCATTGAATCTTTCCAAAAATGAAATTTTGTGTAATATTAATTTGACTTGACCAAATTTAGAAATAAACATTCAGGATTTTCAAATTCCTCAAGAATAGAATTCAATATTAATATTTGGGAAAACTTTCTGTCGCATTAAAGCTAGAGACCTGTATATGCAATAACAAAGCTATTTTTTTTAAAAAAGGTAGGGCATAAAGTGATTCCTATACTTTTAAAGGTCATACAAAATTTAGGAGGTATTTAGAGGTCCTGCACCATACAATCTGTATATCTGTATTGTAATTTCATTAATAAATATGCTACAAGTTAATTTATTACTATTTACTGTTACATAATATATAAAATCAATTAAACATTATGTAAATTTTTAGATATTATCTAAAGAAATTATTAGGTTGTATTATCATCAGTTAGCTATATAAATTACAAATACTATACGTAGGTGACATAAACTAATCAACAAAATAACTTTTTTTAATTGAAGCAAACAATATCATTCAATCGTTCTCACATCCAGTTTACCCTGCTACTTGTGAAATTTTCTGGGATCTACAAATGGAGATTCATAATGACAAGAGTTCTCACTAACATCGCTGTAACCTTTTGTTTCATTAATCTTTTTGGATATGAAGTCATCAATATCCGCATCAAAATAGTCAAAGAGCCTTGGATTAAGGAATGAATCTAATTCTTGACTAAGATTTAATTCAGTTGCCAGCGTTCTTGCTTCAGACAATGATATCCTATAAACCAAACAATCAAACAATATGCAAATAATCTTCATGAATTGACAACGCAAAGTATACTCACAATATATATGTATAAAAAAAAAAGCATAGATACCATTTGTAGTCCTCAGAGGTTGGCTGTAAACCTCCAGCTTGTAATATTGAATATTTAACCAGGCAATCATTATCTAGTCGACGAACTAATCTAACATCCGTAGGGCCAGCATTTACCCAAATGGAATAAACCAATATCTCATTGATTTTGTCGAGCTTTATATTGGATTTTAATGGTGATCTTGGTGTAAGTCGAAGATTATAATGTATTGATGAATTAGTTGTCGTATATCTTACATGTTTACAACCAACAGATACATGTTTCATATATTCGTCAGCATCATCCAATACCAATCCTCTCTTTTTACTAGTCTTAAACTCCAATTTTAAGTCATTCGACATACGATAATTATTTTTAATCGTTATTTCATCATTTATTTTGTTTATATTTTTCTTGCTGTTGTTGGCGGTGGTAGAAATAGTATCGATGTTATCAGCAGTGATTTTTGTTGTTGATGTAGTGGTTATTGTGGTAGCGTCATTTGATGACAATGGTATTGAAGATGATGATGTTGAATATAACGATTGCCTGGTATTATTAATGTTATTCAAAATATCATTGTCATTATTATTATTATTATTGCAGTTGTTGTTGTTAGCATTACAATTTTTAATGTTGGTGTTAATTATAATTTCATTTTTTTGTCCGGAATTAAATTCTTTCTTTACAATAGTATTGTTGTAATTGTTGTTGTTGTTGTCGTCGTCGTCATTAATATTGATATTGTCATTGTTATTGTTATCGTTATTGTTACTAATATTAATATTACTTTTAATATTATCATAACTATTAACGTCATTAGTAATAATGTTGTCGTTGTGAAAATATCTAGTCACCAGGTTTTGTATACTGTTATCATTATCAAAGATTTGATAAAGTGATCTGTTTTCTGATGGTATTTTTTCAAGTATAGCCTTTGATAGTTTCCTTTCTTTAACCCGTTTGAAATGAGTTGAGATTTGACCTGATACAGTTGCATACGGTGTTTGTCCACTAATGTACAATTAATATTTTTATCATTTAATATTTGCGTATAAAACCATAAATATTTTTATTTTACATACCATAATTTTGTTATCCCATATTTTAATATTTGATTAGTGATTTCTCTTGATCCTGATGGTTGATTTTTTAAGGAAATCAAAGCCTTTATTATTGCTATGAAAATCCTGTTATTTTGCTCAAATGAATCAAAGTTTGAAATAATGCTTGAAAAGATAATTTCGGTGATGTTAAGGATGTTTTGTCTATTTGGCATCTTTTCTTGTTGTTTGTTAGTTTTTAAGAAAGCCATTGAGATATATATTGTGATAATTTTGTAATGTGTATATTAGAATTACTAAAAAAAGAAAAAAATCTTTTATATTCTAAATAAATGACGTCTTGAGTTTTTTTTTAAAAATGAAAAACTCCCAGTTAAAAAAAACCCCCAATTTTAATATGTTGTAAAGAATAATGTATTTGGAAAACCAAAAAAAATTCTTTTTGAAAAAAAAAAATAAACTTTTGAATAAAAAATTAATTCGCAGAAATATAAAAAAATAAAAAAAAAAATTTTTCAGTTATATTTATATTTTTTTATTAATATGGTGATTATTATTAATCAATCAGAATAATAATAATGTTAATCATTAACAATCTTTGACAACCACCAAGATACACTAAGACAATGAAATATTATGTTATTACGTATAATAAACTTTACTAAAACGCCTACAAATTTATTATGTACGACTACTGTTTATCAATTATTTTTTCTTCAATCTCGGCCAGTATTTTTTCTCTCTTTCTTCTGCAACGAGAATTCACTCTAGTCAATTATAAAAACAAAATTTAATAGGATAAAAATTTTATGATTTAATATAAAAATATTAAATAAAATATTTAATTTTTAAGGTTTTAATCCGGTCCATTAAATTTTGCATTATTTTTAACGATTCTTCTGTTTTGAAATTCATTTTGTTCATTTTAAGGTCAATTTCTTTTTTTGGCCTATTAAGCATATCAACACATTTTCCAAGTTCATCATAAATAAATGAAAGATATTCTGCATTCTCATTACTATCATATGCTTTAAATTTTTTAAGAATATCATCAACTGACTCCTTATAGATTCTTACAATATATTATATTATAATCAGGAAACCAGGTTTCTTCAACAATATTGAGTAGGAAGTAGATGTAAATAATTCAATATTTGCTATAATTTTTGCTTTTTGAACCAAGAATGTTTCGACTTCATTACAGCAAACCAGTGAATGTATTCATTAGGTATATTACAAATAATATGCTCCATTACCGCTTAATAAGACCAATCTAAATATTTATTATGTTATTATTTGTGAAGGAATTATACATTTAAACAATAAGTTGTTGTAAAATATGTAAATATTCATGGTTAACAATACAATTGAAAGTAAAGAATATATGCATCTAGATCTATTAAATAAATAAATATACCACTTTTAAACATCTAATTAATTATGTATTAGATTTTTAGATAATAAACGTAGTCACAAGGCATTAAAAATAATAATAATATACCAAAGTAATTCCAAAAAAATTTTTATAAGATTTTATTGGATTCCAGATTAGTTGTCTGAATCTTACTTTATGAGTCGAATTACTCCAGGAGACAATAGTTGTGATTATGATGAATTTCTATTATTATTATTAGACAATTGATTTGATGGTAAAATATTATGTAAAAACATCAATAAATATTATTTGAAAAATTAGTTGCCATTTCAATATTTATTCCAAAGTGAACATTCATTATTGTAAGTAATCAATCCAGGATATGTCGTATATTCGAAACCCGAGCTCAACATGAGATATGAATCACTATTTTAATGAAAATTTTCTAAAAGACATATATAAATTATAAAATGGAAATAATATCATTAAAGTTTGAATAAAATATTTTGATATTAAGCCACAATCATTTTTTCTAATCTTGGTAATTCTGAAATGACAATTTTCAATAAACTGGCTGATATTTGACTTGGTATCTTTTTTAAATAATTGAGATAGGAATCATCCTTTTTTCTATAATAGCATTTGAGAGTATAAAAATCATATAAAAATCATAAGGCTGTCTGAATGTTTTCTAATGTATATATATATAATTCATTAACACATAATAGTAATTGCTAAATATTCCTCTATAAAGTATGCTGAAACAAGATGATAATTGAAATTTAATTCAATGTAACGAGGGTCAAAGCACATGATTGCTTTAAACAAAGGAACTGCTGGACGATTTGTCAACATGATTTTTAAATTTTTTGAATGATAATTTATATATATGCTTTAAAAATAATCCAAACTAAATAAAAATTGTTAATTATTTCCAAATTTCATAATTTACAGGCATTCTGAAAGAACCATGACTTTTGTTACTTACAACCTATAGCACTACTGGTTTATCCTAAAGAAAATTATTAATTAATTAATTGGTTGGAAAAATCAAAAATCAAGTTTATTTTTTTACCTTTAATTTATCAATGAGGGGCTGGCTAATTTTTATTGGAATAGCAAATTTGGATTTCTAAAAATAAATCCGTTTGTGAGGAGTTTGTGAATAAGGTTTATCCAGTTCAGATGGCAGCTTCTTCTGCTAAGTGTTTATCTGATTTAATAATTTACATCAACATCAACATCAACAACAAATTATTTATCCTTTCTCTAATACTGATGAACATCAATATTATCATCTAAAACAGAAACGAGTTGTTTATCCAGCCTCAAAGGTGGTTTGCCCTAATACTGACGAACATCAACATCATCATTATTATACATAAATAAATCTATTATTTTTTACATTAAATTTTATTGTGTAAATCAGTACCAAAATTAGAGTCTATGGAAAAGGAATTTTTTCCGATTTCCAAATAATAATAATAATAATACAGTAATTGATATCGCACAACAACCTAAAAATAAAAACCATTTAGTTGTTTTCAATAAACTTGAAAGCAAAAACACCCGGTTGATGGACAAACACATTTACTTAAAGAATGCATTTATTTAAATTGATACGGAAAAGCTTTCTAAATGACAATGTACATACACGTCTTTTTTATTTTATATAGCATAGTACAAAAACAACAATGCCTCACCATTCAAAGAAATACTTTTGTACGTTATGTTAATATTAGTGATTATTCAATAATCTTGCTACTTATTTCGTTGTATTTTCTAGCAAATAGATGACAGGTAACAAATTATGTTTTACTATCGTTATATTTTTATTAATAATCCTTTTATCTAACAAGTTATTATTAATTTCTGAGAATGCACCCAAAAATCAAGGATTTTGGGTCGAATTTTGAAAATTAATGTGTGTGATAAGTGATAATAATAATAGCAAAATTCCCGGGAGGTAGTCTCCGTTTTTTCAAAATTAAAAAATGGACGAGTCTCTTAATCATTATTAACGTTAATATTAAAAAATTGTCAAGATCACTCCTAAGAGTCAAAACAGATTATTAGTAAATGTACCCGAATTTTTATATGTAAATTCGATCATTTACTAATTTTCTTTCTATAATTTATAAAGAGGTGTAACCCATTTGCACGTTGGGAAGGAAGAATTTGGATAATTTTCGAAATTCGAATGGTTTTATTTCATCTTTATTTATTATTTATATCTTTCTTATCATTTTCAATTTCCATTTCTAATATATTATTTTCTTCCTTTAACTTTAACTCTAAATTTTCATTTAGGACATCATTGATTTCATTTTGTCCTTCTGAATTTATCAATCATCTTTAGAAAACAATATGGGTGTAAGTTCATGTAGAAATTTGTTCATATAAGTCGTAATTAATCCATTGATAATATCATCTTCTTCGTTTAATTCTTTATCTTTTTCTATTCTCTATTAAAAATTTTATTTTCTTTATTTTTGGGAATTTCCAATTATTGCCCTCCTGAGATGCAATGATTAGTTTAAATATTGATCTTGATTACTGTGTTGAGTATCAGAACTTTGATTATTATTATTTTGATAATTTTCTTTCAAATCATTGTTTCTTAAAACTATTAAACAAGTAAGTCCATTATTATCATCATTTGAAAATTTCTTATGTCATTGAAATCATTGTTTGTTCTTTCTCATTGATATTTGTTATTATTTGGTTTCCTCGTTGTTGATCTACCAATTTTTAATACTTTGTCCTATCGGTTGTGAATTTGGTCTGTTTGGATATTGCGATATTAAGACTTTTGTTGCTTCAGTGTCAACCGAGTACGACAACCCTCGACTTCAAACATTTTGCATTTTTTCTTTTATCAAAGGTTCTTCACAACTTTACTTTGCATCAATAGCAACAATTATCGCCAATATGGGTTCATAAAAAGCATTATACTAAATTTTAGCATTTAGAAAAAAGTTGAGAAAAATTCATCACTAACTTGTGAATCGAATAACAACGGGGGAAGCAAGACGTCAAACATTAGATCTAAATAATTCCCAACAAAAAAATCCATTGGTTCAATTTAGTATTCCGAGATCATCAATAACTAATATTCCACACTTTATAACGTATGTAAAGTAAGCTTGATCATGAGAAATCAAATGCCCAGACTGCGCAAAGATGCATTTTTACTAACACGCAGGCATACTGTAATGTTAGCCAGTAAATATTCGTGTGCTGTAGCGACTTTTCAGCGAAGGTCCTGAACGGGACGTTTACAATACTAAGATTTGGTGACAAAATCCAACCCTTCTAATAGTAAAACTGATATATCCAAGCTCCCACGCAAGTTTCAGCATACAGTGGGGGTTACGGTTTATTAGGTTGACCAACTGTTAATTAAGACCTAAATACAGAGGTCTTCCCAAGGACAATTCCTCCGATTAACTTGACCTGCAAATGCACTTGTTCTGTTTGTTATAAAGTCCTTCTTATTATTTTACAATCCTCTAGACTCTAGGGAGGTTTTAAACATAACTCACATGAATAAAACTGGAAGCCCTAAAGTTTCAAGCAATTGTGATACATACGATCCCAATCTTTAATTAAAAGATAGAGTCTTAGTTAAATTTTAGCAAAGTAATGAAGACTAACGAATGTATCAGAAAAACAGCATTTTTAGTTCGAGGCCAAATGGTGCACCTGCCTAAAACAAAATATGCTAGCATAGCTTCAAAATATAGCCGTAAAACGGCTTGACGTTAATACGGGTGTCTCTTATAAGTAAAGTAATTATCAACATTAAAAGAACCAATTAAATCAATAGATCCATTTTCCAATCTCTATTCGAAAATCATTGGCGACTTAATGACCATAATTGGCGCTAACTCACCAGAAACATGTAGTTTGGATTACATGGGAAACAACTTTCCTACCCTGGATGTCAAGGACTACCAGCCAAGGTTAGCGTTTTTAACTTTTAAGGAGATTTGAGTGTTTCCATCTTATTGTTATTCCTGCTTGTTGACGATTGTTTTGTTGCATTTTTTTAACGTTACTTAACGCGGACTAAATCATTTATATCTTCCTCACTCCCTTTATAGATATGACTTTTTGTGAAATAAATAAATTTATTAATTAAAAAAATCAATTATTTGGTTTTGAATGTATTGTTAAATGATGAGAACTGGTAGATGATAGGTCACATATATGTATAGGATATTATAAGATACATTCTTTTTTATATATCTCATAAATTTTATACATATTAAACAAAATACTGTATACAGTCAAACCTCGTCAGAAATTTTAAAAATCCGTTATGATAAGAATTTAATTATAGTCCGCTGTGACAATGTTTGACTATATATTCGTTTATTAGTAAAACTCGGTGGTCTTGGTGGAGATGGAACTCTTCGTAAAAGTCGCAGAAACGCGTAGATTTATAAATTTAAATCTCTATTTTATTATTTTATTAGATATCTTATATATAATTACATATATGGGAGAAAAGATCGAGTTTGGAGTCCATCCATATGATCCGAATTGGAAGCCGGTATTCTAGGTGGTATTAATCATACTCACATGGTTCCTAAATCTAAAGTATTATGTCTTGATGCTGCATCTGGTATTATTGTTGGTACAAAAAATTTTATTTTTATGATTTATTATTTGGAAAATAGGAGGAAGAACAAATGTAATACCAATAATTGAGGATGCACGACACCCATACAAGTATCATATGTTGGTTGGAATGGTATTTTTACCACAACACATATTATAAATGCATATCATTATCTAAAAAATAATGGACATGTTGTTATCCCAATAAAAGCAGATTGTATTGATTCCACCATAAATCCCACTACAGTTTTTGTCAATGAAGTTAAACTATTACAAGAGGAACACATTAAACCTCAGGAACAATTAATTTTGGAATCATATGAACGCGATCATGTCCCAGTTGTTGGAAAATATGTAAAATCGATGTGTTGTAAATAATAATAATAAAATTACTACTACTATTATTATTACAACTATAGTAATTACAATATTAAATAAAATCAATTTAATAACATTAAATGTTTTATTATTTAATAGAATTTGAATTAACTTTCTTCGTTATCTTCATTAGATTTACTAATGCCATAATAGTTATTCTGTTTTTTGTAAGTTATAAATATCAAATTAATATTATTAAAAATAAAGTAGATTTAAAAAAGAACTGTAAAAATAGACAAACCCAATATCCACGATCAAAAAATCTAGAATTTCTTGAAGAGGTGTTCTATCAAATATCAAATATTTGAAAGAAAATATATGTTAAATATATAGATAAAAATAAAAACAAAAATTTGATAAATTGATAAAAAGACAAACCCATAAACTATCTCTATATTCTTCATCAATTCCTTCATCGATCTCTTCATCAATTTCTTCATAATTATTCCTTTCTTTACTATTATTCTTCTCATCGCTGCTTTTACCTTTATTTTTGCAGTTATTGTCACCATTATTTTCTTTGTTTTTATTCGTATATTGGTATTTAATTTTCTTTTTATTTTTATCATTATTATTCTCAACATCTTTTTTACCCATATCTCCATCATCATCATCTATGTAAATTTCTATGTTCATATTATTACCAATATCGTTATTTCTTTCAACTTTATTTTTGTCGTTATTGTCACCATTATCTTCTTTATTTTTATTCGTATATTGATATTTAATTTTCTTTTTATTTTTACCATTATTATTCTCAACATCTTTTTTATCTATATCTCCATCATCACCTATATAATTTTCTATGTTCATATTATTACCAGTATCGTTATTTCTTTCAACTTTACCTTTGCCGTTATTGTCACCATTATTTTCTTTATTTTTATTCGTATGTCGATATTTAATTTTCTTTTTATTTTTATCATTATTATTCTCAACATCTTTTTTATCCATATATCCATCATCATCATCTATGTAAATTTCTATGTTCATATTATTACCAATATCGTTATTTCTTTCAACTTTATTTTTGTCGTTATTGTCTCCATTATCTTCTTTATTTTTATTCATATATCGATATTTATTTTTATTTTTATTTTTGCCATTATTATTCCCAACATCTTTTTTATCCATACCTCCATCATCATCATCTATGTAATTTTCTATGTTTATATTATTACCAGTATCGTTATTTCTTTCAACTTTATTTTTGTCGTTATTGTCACCATTATCTTCTTTATTTTTATTCTTATGTCGATATTTAATTTTCTTTTTATTTTTACCATTATTATTCTCAACATCTTTTTTATCCATATTTTTACCTCCATCATTATCATCATCATCTATGTAATTCTCTATGTTTATATTATTACCAGTATCGTTATTTCTTTCAACTTTATTTTTATCGTTATTGTCACCATTATCTTCTTTATTTTTATTCTTATGTCGATATTTAATTTTCTTTTTATTTTTACCATTATTATTCTCAACATCTTTTTTATCCATATTTTTATCTCCCTCATCATCATCTGTGTAATTCTCTATGATTATATTATTACCAGTATCGTTATTTCTTTCAACTTTATTTTGGTCGTTATTGTCACCATTATCTTCTTGATTTTTATCATAATCCTCATCATCTTCTTGGTAATCATAATCCCAATCTTCTTTTAAAAATTGCAATAAAATAAATAGATGATATAATATAAAAAATAATATAATATAATTTTTAACTTCTTACCATAATTATTAGCAAAATTTTCACCTCTTTTTGTCTCAACATAATTCTTTTTAATAATTAAATTTTTTATTGGAAAAAAAAACTATCGTTACTTTCTCCCTCATCACCATCACCATTATAATCAATGTAATGAATTTTCCTACCTTTATTATGCGTGTATTGCAAACCTTTTCAATTTTTTCAATAAAATAATCAAAATCCATTTGAGGTGCAAGTTGTTGTTGCCAGCTATGATAAATTAATAGGATATTACCCGAATCTACTAACTTTTAGTTTTCGCATATTTCAATAAAAGAACAATTGAAAATTTGAAAAATTATAGGTTATAAATTATAATATATAAATCATCAATTACTTACAATATCTTTATCACGCAAATGCAATTTTTTTGAAGTCTTTAATAAACTCGGTAAGCCTTCCTTTTCATCTAACAAACTATAAATATAACATAAATAGATTAGTCAAATTAATAACTTATAACTGTATATCTAAATATAATTCTATTTATTACCGTAAAGGATCAATTGATTTTACTCTGCTCATTTTGAATTATAAATGAAATTTTCAATTTTCAAATATCAATATTTATAAAATGTCTAAAGAGTAAAAAAAAGGTTTTTTGTACGAGGATAGATGTTTTACGCGTTTGTGTAACAATTTGTCGATAAAGAATGTGTTGCATATCATGGAAGTATACTGTAATCCATCAAGCCGTATTCATATTAAAAGAAGGAAGTCCACAATACCATCACATATAATCACCTTCCAACATCAGTTATAATCCTGTCGGTCGTTTTTCAAATGTTTCTGATGTATATAGCAGCGCGACGCCCTATCTTCAAGATATATGAAGTAACCCAATTTATAAGAGTACTTGGAAGCATGATTTGGTCATATCTCGCAATATAGAGGTTGGAATTGTCCAAAAAAATCCTTAGTCGACTACTAGTTGGCCAAAATTTCTTTAGTCGACTAAATTTTTTTTTTTTAATAATAATATTTCGTTTTTTTTTTTTTGAATCTTTCACATTTTTCAAAATACTTCCACACAAAACCATGTGTTACGATTCGTTTTTTTAAAGGCCTTCTGGAACCACCGCTTAAATCATTAGAACTTGAGGCCAATGAACTATTGGACCTTGTATCGGAAGTGTTTATTCGTCCACATGTAAAATTATCATCAACAACACCACCACTATTGTCGTCGTCATCATATTGATGGTATTGATACTCTTCTGCATAGAAATTTACTATTTTGAATGATAAATCACAAAAATATAATTGGTCAGACAATAATAATATTAGCATAGTATTAGTATTAGTATTAGTAGTATTAGTAGTCGACTATTAGTTGTTCAAAAAAAAGTTTAGTCGATTCCAACCTCTATCGCAATATCACTGGTATCAATATAAAATGATTTGTGTTGATCATAGATGATGGATTTAGATGATTTAGAATGCGATTATTTTTCCTGCCATAATTAATAAAATAAGATATGGAGATAAACTCGTTAAGTGAGACCACTCAAAAAAGAAATGGCAGGTCTGATTTGTCAAGAAGTGCTAACGTTCGCGGTATTTTCATAAAAATTATTGATTATTTCAAGTCCTTGTTTGCGAGATCAAAGAGTTCAGATATTGGCAACCATAAAATCGAAGACGAGTTAAGATTGGAAAAGGTTCTTTCATTCCTACATTAAGCTCTACCAACAACTAAAACAACCACATGGAAAGAACATAGAAACTATTTTTTATTGTATTATGCTTAATCAATCAGCCAATGAAATATTTAGTTTATTTTTATAAAAGTTTCTGTAAACTTAGAATTTATAATTAGAAAAGTTAGAGTTGTTAGCAAAAGTGTTGTAGTAACAGATTGTGGGTTTAGAACACCAGTTAGAACTTGATTCATAGTGTATTATAATAATTTGATCATACATATAACCCTACATATAAATTCTATCACTTTGTAGTTTTAAATAAACGATTCTATTATAAATAATGGTGGTAGTGGCAAAGGACGGTCACTTTTTTATATATATCTGGTATCTTCCTCACGCAAAAAAAAGCAAATTCAAAATTGTGCGAAATATAATGCGATTATTAGCAAAAAAAGCCATGGCTGGCTCGGTCTAAAGACCTCCTAAAATTTCAAAGCATAGAAGTCACTTTCTGTCTTATCTTTTAAAAAATAGCTCTATCGGTTGATAGAATAGGCCTCTAGTTTTTAATGTATTTTCCCAAAAAATTATTTTTAGCACACGTATTTTACTATGTTCACGAGAAATTTGAAAATATGAATTATTCTTTATATATATATACTTTATTAAAAATGAATGACATAACAATAATGAGAATATTATGCATAAAGAAATAATTTTGAGTAGTCGTGATGCGAAACATCCTAGCATCCTTTTGCATAATTTCTCATAATATGCGTGTATACATTTGTAGCAATCCCCTTCCACCATTCTTCTTCTGAACATTATAAGAATTGCGTCGAGAAACTTCAGTTTGGTCTAATTCCATATGCATGTGCGGTTATTATTATTGCCATTATTGTAGTTATTGAAATTATTATCTCTTGGTGCTCTTTCTGAACTAGATGGTCTTGTCTGTCGGTTGTTATTCATAACAGGTCTTTCCATTCTAAACATTGCAATATGCTATAATTCTTAGTATTATTAATAATGTTGTCGGCATTAATGTTATCATATTTTATAGCATGTGCTATGTCCAGTTCCAAAGTATCCACGTTATCTCCATTTTTGTTGCTGGTTTTAATCCATCAATGTACATGTAGTATGGTGGGAATAGTTGTGATTGCCATTAAATACATTAAATAAAAAGGTGAAGAGGCTCGTAATTTGTCTTAAACGGGTTTATTTTGCTATTATTACTTTCAATATGTGACTGTTGAAGCAATGGAAGCATTGCCCTTCTTTATATTGTTCTATGACATTGCAACAGTTCATGGAAAAGCGATCAAAGTAGTGGCATGTATAACATTTTGCATTGACATTTCACCTTCCCACGGAGATTATTGCCAGATATTACTACCTCAGAAAGTATTACCGCTTCATATTCACGTTCATACATGTCGACAAGTTTATCTACAATAACATTTAGACCATTGTTATCCATCAGTGAGCTGGTGATGTGTTTCTCTTGTTCTAATCCTTACTATATACACATTATTAACTAGAGCTTAGACGAAACGAAATAACAATTATAATAATACTTGCTCATTTATATCCTTTATTGTCGATTTTGTTTATTTTCAATTCCTTTCGTACCCCATTTTTTTTTAAAAACAATTAATCATAACACAAAACCCCCTATTTTTTTTTTGGATGCGACATAAAAGTTCTGAAGATATATAGATAAGCTTGTTGATAGCTAGAGGTTTATTTTTTATACTTTTTTATAAAATAGCTTAAACATCTTATATAAACATGAAGTGAAACTTGCCATATCTTTCATTATATAGTGATGGGTAATTATATAAGGTTCTTATCATGAATAGATCCAAATAATCAATATAATCGGTCCATCTATCTATACAAAAATAACACATCCGATGCATCTTTATGCTTATAATAAAGTCTCAAATCAGTTTCATTAAACTCTTTATTATCTAGAACAACCAATCATTCATCTAAAAATATCTTTATTGTTATCAAAATTCGTAGTTGGAACCAATAGGCATTTTTCCTAATGCTTTCAATCCGTGTAATGCTTTTATTTTTGGCTATATATTTTTTTAGTAACATAGTAAACTGGTTATGATTATTGTTATTAAAAATATAAAAATTATTAATCTAAATTTAAATTTAAATTTCCAAAATTAAAAACCTCGCCACTAAAATATGTGAAGAAACAAAGAATGTTCCAGCAATTTTGAAGAATATATATTAAATGTTTTAAACGAATTGATGAAGAAGAGCAAAAGTTAATCTAAAAATGGCATTTGATAAAGATTATGTAGATGAGTGTAAAAATGGATCAGTAGCATCAAAGCAAGTCAATTAATTATTGCAACACTTGAAAGATTGATTGATTGTATTATCTCATGCATTATTTGATTAAAAATAAAATTATTTTTAATGACTTTATTATTAATTATTATTAAATATAAATAGAATAACAAATAAATAATATTTATAACTAATTATGGCAAAACAATATATTTTTCTAAATGCTTGGGTATGGAATTGATCAGATTTTTACTTTCTAGCCATTTCCTACCTAATTATATGTAAAATTTAATTATTAATATATTCAACGATAGAAATAATAATATAAAGTATATACATGATAGATAAAAGAATTATAAATGAATCAACTTACTGAATAATCTTGTTTGATATCTGTATGCACCATCACATAATATGGTAACAATTCTTTTACCTATATAATATTACACATATTTTTATTAACACTCCCCAAAATCACATTATCCTATTATTCAATAAATTAAATTTTCATTATTTATTATTTACCTGGGCCTAATGCTTTAGCCATTTCAACTGCAGAAACAACATTTAATGCAGTTGAGGCACCCATGTATAACCCCTCCTCATCCAACAATCGATAAACCATCTCGATAGATTTTTCATCAGGTATGAACAATGCGTCATCAATCAGGTGAACGTCTTGTTTCAAATTTTCAGTTATACGCCCCTGTCCAATCCCTTCAGTTATTGAACTGCCACTTCTCTCGCCAAGAAGTTTCCCACCACTTTTAAAATAATTATATAATATCGATCCAGGTGGATCGGCCAAAAATATTTTTATTGAGGGATTTTTTGATTTCAAATATCTAGCGATACCTGCCAGCGTACCACCTGTACCAGTCGAACACACAAATCCATCCAATTTTTTACCTTCTCCCTCTGTCTGTTGCCATATCTCTGGTCCGGTTGTCTCAATGTGTGCTTTCCGATTTGCTATATTGTCAAATTGATTGGTCCATGCAGCATTCGGTATCTTTTCTGCATGTCGTTTTGCTTGATGATTATAATTATCAGGGTTGTCATATGCTACAGCTGGTACTGGATAAACTTCTGCGCCTGTTTATTCATACACACAAGTTAAACGTCATAGTGAAAGAGTGGGTTTGATAAATATATAGAACATATAAGACATTATTTATATTCAATATCTAACAAATTAATAAATTATTGTCAAGTACCCAACATTCTTAACAAATCAATCTTTTCTTGACTTTGTGTGTTTGGCATATAAATCACACATTTGTAACCTTTTGATCTACAAACGTGTGCAAGTCCAATGCCAGTATTACCTAATATTCAAAAAAACAGAATTATAAAAATTGCAAAAAAAAAATTAAAGTTCAAATATATTTCTACTTACCAGCTGTCCCTTCGACCACTGTACCACCAGGCTTCAATAAACCTGATTTGTTAAATAATTAAAAATTTAAACCAAATTATAAATTAAATAATCATATTACTTTTTCAAAAATGAAAAATTGTGAAACCTTTTTCTTCTGCCTCTTTAACAACATATAAAGCAGCTCTATCTTTAACCGATCCACCAGGATTCATAAATTCTGCTTTGGCCAAAATTTCTGATCCAGTTTCTTTGCTTAATTTTTGTAATTTAATCTAATGAATAAATTAATTAATTAATTAATAAGAATATTAATTAATGGTGGGAAAACAAAAAGACTTACTAATGGCGTATTTCCAATAGCTCCAAGAAATCCATCTACTATCTAATTAGCATTATTATTTTTTATTTGATTAATTTCAAGCAAATGAATGATTAATTGATCACCCCAATTATCCCATTAATTAATATACCTTAGTATGTAGGCTTCTACATCTAATTGATCGATTTAATGAAGATTTAAACATTGTTAAATGTAAATTTTATTAGTGTAAGATAAAATGGTTTTTTCCTGGAGAAATAATAAGATTTAAAAAATTCAAAAAAAATTTTTTAAAATCTATATATATATATTCGAATCTGAAAAACCCTGTATTTATTCCTGAGAATATGCAGATAAAAGTTGATCCTTCCAAATCTGTCCTGAAAATATCGGGGAAATGCCCTATTTGGGGAGGTTTATCAGATCTTCCCTAATTTAAAAATATACTATTTTTTTTTTTTAGTATTTTTGCATTCATTCATTCTATGCAAGAGTTGATTAATAATCATGTAATTATTATTGTCCACAAATCCGCTATTGCAACTTTATTGGTGGGTTAGATGGATAACTACATAGTAGCCGTTGATTATGATGATAGTGTTAATGATTACAAATAATGAAATAGAAGAACTTTGTACTTTTAATAAACTAATATCAACGAGATAATGGATGTTATAATATAATAAAAACACGTGTTACGATTCCCAATATTTATTTATCTAATAAAGGAAAAAATCTATACATGCGAGAATATGAATTTTTGCTCGTGAACCTATCTGTCTTAAATATGTCCTGACCCAAACAATTCAAAAGCGTTTTAATTTTCAAATACTGCATTGTGTGTTTCTAACGCTATTCGTTGTTATAAATTATTATATGCATCGTTTCTAGTTTTCAAATACAAAACCGAGTGATTGGGCGTGTCCAAAATACTTTAATGAGAGCAAATAGTGCATTGAATATACATGTGGCCCAAATTGTTTTGCTGATGTCAAAAGTCAATTCCAAAGTAATTGTGTGTCATTCGCTATTAAAAATACGCGTCTAAAATATTTTAGGTTGCATGCACAATTTTAATGCTTCCGTTGTTGCAAGTGCTCGGTCCTTTGCCATATCGATGTAACTAGATAATTCATCGATGATATTTTTAATTGGCGAAAATATACTGTATTTTTCAACTGGCTAGAGCATATATTAACTGGAATTACGAAACGCTTGTATGTCAAAAAA